TTTAGTAGAGACGGGGTTTCACCGTGTTGACCAGGATGGTCTCGATCTCTTGACCTTGTGATCCACCCGCCTCGGCCTCCCAAAGTGCTGGGATTACAGGCGTGAGCCACTGCGCCCGGCCTGACTCTTCAACTTTCATCTCTCTCCTCATTGACTTCCTTCCTCCCTATAGTCTGTCAGTCCCATTCTGAACTCCATCTCTCCCTAAACCCCAAGAAGAGGAGGAAGGCTGTGGTGACCTTCATGCCCCCTCTAGAAGCTTCCTGCTGATGGGTGAAGGCTGACCTGTCCACCCAGCAGCAGGGGCTGGCATCCACCCTGTAGTTCTGAATCTTGCTTTTGACCCCACAGCCGCTGGGGCCCTGGATGAACTCCGGGAAGGCCCATGAGCGAGCACGGGCTGTGAACAGCAACGTCTCTGTGTTGAATCACGTGCTTCTAACTCTGCCTTTCTTTGTGAGTGGCCCGTGGGAGGGGTGGACGCTCTTAGGGAAAATCTTCCCACTTCTGAAGGAGCCTGTGCCTCTGTTCAGGGATTCCCAGGTGGCTCTTGCCATCTCCAGAGGGCTCTGTAATCTGGGCCAGACTATCCACCTGTGTTCACCATTTAATGTACAGCGTTATTGAACCTACGACACTCAGTCCCTAAGACTGCAATACAAACAGGTGCCCTTGGGGTTCCCGGCACTGGGACTTCTGCTGGGGAGACTCATCCTTCGCGTCGGGGATCCTGATGAGGAGATCGGCCGGGAGGCTCTGGATGGCATCGTCACCCTCTACACCATCCTGGATCTCCAGAAACGTAAGCCCTATTGGAGTGCTGCTGAAGGGAGGCTTCTGAGCTGCTGCTCGGTCTGGATTCAATAAAGAATCAGACGGAACCTTGACACTAAGGCACTGGTGGCGGATGGGGGAAACCAGCACAAGGTCAGGCGGGGACTGTGGAAACTGGTGTGCAGCCCAAGACCCCACAGAACCAGGGGACAAATGCTACAAACCAAACTATTTTGATTTAAGCAATCTTGCTTTTTCTTATCCTTCCAAGCTTGATTTGTGACTATCATTTTCATATTCCCTTAATACTATGTACACCTAGGGCTAATTCCCCTAACAGCTTGTTTTCCTGTCTGTCTTCCCCACTAGAGGGAAGGGCAGGGCTGCATCTAGGTCACCCCTGCATTCCCAAGAGCTATCGCTGGGCCTGGCACATGGTGGGTGCTCAGTGAATACTTACTGAATAAAGAACAGCTTCTATCTTTGAATCAGAGTAGCTTAAGCTTGTAGTTGGGAGAACTTTCCTCGATTCAGCTTCAGGGAGCCCTTAGTGATGTGGTATGGGCTGCACAGGTGTCCTGGAGGCACGTACCTAGAGCTGCAGTATCAGCTGTCGCTTGTCTCCTTCCTTTCTCCATAGTCCTAGCTCTGCCCTAAACCAGGGGACCTTGGCATGTAGTTTAAACTCTCCTGGTTCTGGAGGTAGAGTGACCTGCACATAAGACCTGGTCCTATCCCTTGTTAGTGATGTGACCTCAGGCAAGCACTTTATGTAGACCTAGATTTCCTCATCTGTAAAAAGGGTACACTCAGATATAATCCATGCTTTTTTTTTTTTTTTTTTTTGACGGAGTCTGGCTCTGCTGCCCAGGCTGGAGTGCAGTGCACAATCTTGGCTCACTGCAATCTCCATCTCCTGGGTTCAAGTGGTTCTCCTGCCTCAGCCTCCCAAATAGCTGGGATTACAGGCGCACGTCACCACACCTGGCTAATTTTTGTATTTTTAGTAGAGAGAGGGTTTCACCATGTTGGCCAGGATGGACTCGAACTCCTGACCTCAAGTGACTCATCTGCCTCAGCCTCCCAAAGTACTAGGCTTACAGGAGTGAGCCACTGCGCCTAGCCTGAGTTCATGCTTTTTGAAAGATTAAGTAAGATCTTCTGTAAGAGCACATGTAAAGAGACTAGCTCAGCGCCACACATTACAGGGACTTGCCGTACAGTTCTCCTTCTCCTATCCCTTCAGGTTTTTGGGATTTATCTGGTATCCTCACTCTTCTTGATCTCTAGCATTTGGGACAAAGATTTGGTCCCTGGGAGATTTGCCCTGCTGGCCAGGAGCCACTCATGTCTCTGGAGTGACAGGTGAAGGTGGTGTAAGCCATGTTAATAACCAGCTTTAGGGATAGGAATAGGAGTTTCTGTGAGCCTATTCTGGCTTGGGAGGCTGCTCTTTTTTTTCTTTTTTTTTTTTGAGACACAGTCTTGTTCTGTTGCCCAGGTTAGAGTTCAGTGGCATAATCTCGGCTCACTGCAGCCTCAGCCTCAATCTCTCAGGCTCAAGCAATCCTCCCACCTCAGCCTCCTGAGTAGCTAGGACTATAGGCACATGCTATCATGCCTGGCTAAATTTTTTTTTGTAGTTTTGGTAGAGGTGGGGTGTCGCCATATTGCCCAGGCTGGTCTTGAACTTCTGGTCTCGAGCGATCCGCCTGCCTCGACCTCCCAAAGCAGTGCGATTAGAGGCATACATCACCGCAGCCCGCTGAGGCTGCTCATTTAAAAAAGATAGAAAGAAAGAAAAATGAGTAGGACTAGTATAGACTCAATTAGAGTTGCCAGATTTAGCAAATAAAAAATACAGGATACCCAGTTAAATTTGAATTTCAGATAAACAATGGATAATTTTTAGTATATTTAAGACATACTTTCACAAAAAATGATCTGTTTATCTGGAATTCAAATTTAACTGGGTATACTGTATTTTATTCGGCAATCCTAGGTCAAACCTCTTAGATTTTGCATTTTTTTTTTTTTTTTTTTTTTTTTTTTTTTTTTTTTTTTTTTTTTTTTTTTTTTTTTTT